AGTTGCCGTCAGCTATATATATTTAGGTGTGTGTGTTTAAATTATATGTTAATAATATATATTGATGAGTAGTGTGAAATTTGATTCCCAGCTCAACATGTAAACAAAAACAAATCTAGGACCTGTCAATTCCATATATGAATGTTTTGTAAAAACGCTGCTTGAGCGTGTTTCCGATGCTCCCTTATACAAAAGAAATCAGCAAAAGATGCCAAAAAGGTATGCGCCAGACGTGCATATTTCCAGTACTGTTAATGTTGTGTATGTGGGGTTGGAATCCAACCATCTAGATTCCAGAGAGTGCTGTGCCCATCGTGCCACGTACCGTTGCCTTGGTAACAAACCATTTCATCTTAACCACTGACATTCTTTCTTACTGTAAAAATCATTTGCTCTGAGACGTCCAACACGAGAGATGGTGGGCCGTCAAGTAATTCCAGCCATGCCAAACGTAAGAAATTTCAAACAAGGAAAATCTTCAGAATATCTGATAAGGTAGCACATATTTTTTATGTTGCCCTCTTTTAAATAAACTCCTCTTATGATCAAAACTCATAGGAATAAAGTTGAACGCATACTGTGAGATGTTATTTTTCTATGAAATCTTTCAATATACTCAGGTTTTCTGATACTTTGCTCTATAGATAAGCCATTAGGAGGATAGGCAACAACAAGACCATTTTCATCACTCAAAGTGAACTTGCATTATTTAAACATCAAAAGCAATATTAAGTTATTACAGCAGCACTGGGAGACTCAAACTGTTGTTTGTTACACTTTATTTTATTTTTCTAGCTGTGCCCTCAGAAGGAATCAGATAGCTTGGCACGTCCACTTCTCTTGTTACAAATGAGTACAAATATACTGTATACTGTATTCTCCACCCTGTAATGACCGGACATTGGTAGCTCATGTGTAAGACTTGTTTTGTAATTTATTTTATTTTATTTTTTTAAGAATGAATGTTTAGATAAACTGTAAAGTGCAAATAAAGTGCTGAGCTACATTCCTCCAGTGGTCTTGGATGTTTTTCAGTCATTGCTTCTTTGAATGCCAGTGAGAGCCACATTAATGGACAGAAGGTGGCAGCAAAAATACAGATTGTACTTTTAAAAGTACATGAGATGGTATTTTGACAGGGTGAGGTGTGTCTGTACTGCAGCTATGTGTGTTTACAGATTGTAGATGAGGTGGACACTAAATGACTGATCAATCACGATATGTTTAGTGATCCAGGTAAATAACTTCCATCTGATTATTTTACACAGATCAGTTATCAAAACCAGCTCTCAGCATCACTGGTGTTTTCCATCCGGAGCAGAAATCGAAACAGTGAGGGTCTTGGAAAGGAGCAGGAGAATTTACCAGCGTTTCAGTTTGCACATATGAGCTCTTAAGCGCTGCCTCTAAAAATAACACACCGCTCTGAGGCCTGTTTCCCTCTCCTGTTGTTTATGAGCAGCATCCTTCTGTTCGAGTCAGCTCAGGTGCAAAATGCAGAAATAAATAGACAACAAAAAAGATGGAAGCCTCTGAGGAGCACACTCGAATCAAAACCGATCTAGATGTAAGTTTAGGTGATTTAACTGTGGAGGGATCTGCAGCCAACAGCAGCTGGACTGAAGCTCATCAAGCTGCAGTGACAGCATCAGGTTTCAAAATAAACATCTGTCAAAGTGCTCGTATGTGCAAAAGTTTTAGATCTATTTTACCTTCAAAGGTTTGAACTTTGGCTTTATTGCTCACAGAAAGAGATATGCTTTAAATTAGGACAAACACAATAAAACAAAACGTGGAATCTTCTTTTGTTGTTTGGCAGTATTTCAGGGAGTTTATAGCAGATGTGAGGGTTTTTACTTGTTGCTTTTTGTAGTACAGTGTTGCTTTAAAATGTAAGCTCCACATCAGAAACAGTTAAGATTTTTGATGTGAACTGAGTTATTCCTGAAGCACAAACGCAGCAGTAAGGGCAAAAACGGAACAAGTGTTTCACACAAATACCCAAACAGGGATCTTCAACAAACACAGAGAAGAAAATAAGAATAAAGAAAAACACAAAACAATTTTTGGGTGAAAATGCATTGTGGATACTATATGAGCTGAATGACTGCTGAAATTTGCAAAAGAAGCTAAAACGGAGTGGTTAAGTAGCAGAACGGTAGCTAAAAGCTAAATGAAGCAAAACTAGATATAGTCTGAGCCAAACCCAGCAAAAGGCTAGCTAAAAGCATCAAAATAGCAAAACAGCAGAAAGGAGTTAAAAGCAGCAAAAGGCTAAAACAAACAAAACACTTGCTACAAACCAAAAGAAGCAAAATACGAATCTACAAGCTAAAAGTACTAAAACATTAGCTCAAATGAATTATCCATCCATCCATCCATTTTCTTTACCCGTTTATTCCATTTTGGGTCACGGGGGTCGCTGGTGCCCATGTCCAGCAATCACTGTGCGAGGGGCGGGGTACACCCTGGACAGGTCGCAAGTCCATCACAGGGACACATAGAGACAAACGAGACAAACAACCATTCACTCTCTCACTCACACCTAGGGACAATTTAGAGTTATCAATCAGCCTAACATGCATGTTTTTGGTCTGTGGGAGGAAACCGGAGCACCCGGAGAAAACCCACGCACGCATGGAGAGAACATGCAAACTCCACCCAGAAGGCACCTGGACCGGGGTTTGAACCAAGGACCTTCTCGCTGAGAGGCAGCAGCTCTACCAGTTGCGTCACCGTGCTGCCCGCTCAAATGAATTATTAAAATTGAATAGTTTTCGTTTGATACTATTTCTGTTGTAACGTGATTCTTGGCCTGCCATTGTGTATCTGTTCCTCTCAAACCCAGCAGGTCGAAGCAGATGGACGCTTGTCCTGAGTCTGGTTCTGCTAAAGGTTTCTTCCTCATGAGGGAGTTTTTCCTTTCCACTGTCGCCTTCATGCTTGCTCAAGATGAGAGTTCAGCGACTGAGTTAAATTCAAAGTAGTCTGCTCCTCAGATAAATAATGTTAAATTGTTATTTTTATATATGAATGTTTCTGTTCAGTGTCCTGAGAAGACTTCTGTTGTGACTTGGTTCTATATATATATATATATATATAAACTGAATTGAATTCAAAGCTGAAATCAGGAACACTGCCAAGAAGTTAATAGCAAGACTAGCTAAAAGCTAACTGTCATAAAATGTTATAAAAGCAGCAAAGTGTTAGCTAAAACTAAAAGTAGTTGAGCTAAAAGCTAAAAGTAGCAAAAGACTAATGCTCCTGAGTGGCTGAAGGTTTTGATATATGAATGGCTAAAATAACACAAAACGATTGTGAAAACATCGAAAAGTGAAAAAAACTGTTCACATAAAAAGCAAAATAAACAAATAAGTAAAACAATCAGAAAATACATCAAAACAACCCAAGAACAAGATATTCCAAAAAGTATCAAATTTACTTTACTTTTCTTTCATTTTACATGCGATTTTCTATGTTGAGTGCACTCTTCAGTCTGTTTTCTGCGTGGGTTTCCTAATACTGACTGAGCAGTCTTGTTTTGTTTGCAGAAACATTCACATGTCTCGCCTGTCATCAAGCGTCAAAACAGATTTTTCATTAAAATCCAATGATCTTCGCAGTTAGGCTTTTATTGTGAAAGTATGTTACGGAAGTTACTTGTCGTCGACGTGACTTGACCATATTAGGATTTTGACGGTTCATGCGCTCGTGAGAAGAAGAAGCCGCGCGCGCTCCTCTGCAGTTCATCCTTCACGCGCACCTTCTCTCTCCCTCTGCGCCACCTCGGAGGAAAATCACCGGCCCGCGCTCAGACTCAAGACCCGAACCGGCCGAAGTCCAGATAAGTAGAACCGGGCCCTACTAGTTCATTTAGACCCGTTTCAGATTAGTGTCGAAGGCGGCAAAAGACAAAAGTGCAGTTTTAAAGATTCGGGCACGACCCCTGAGAAAATATAGTCCGGGTAGTTGTTGGGTGGCAACTTTTTATAGTAAAGAACAGTTCAAATTTTTTATTATTTTTATTTTTTGTTAACCTGAAGGGAAACAGAAATGTTCTCGGATGAAAGAAACGCGCACTTTCGGATGTGAAGTTAAATCTCCGGGATGTAGTTTTGGCGGCTGGCGGAGGGGAGCCTCTGGACTTGGGACATGAACTTTAACCTCTGCTCGCCTTAAAGACGCGGAAACATGGGTTGAAGGCGACATGACGGGCTGCGGGGACGTTCAGCGTCGGAGGGAGAAGCGTTTTCTGTGTTATGTAATGACTGACAGCGCCTGGTAAGTGATAAGTGATAAATCAAAACCATCATCACCTCCCCGTCACCCCCTTCCCCTGGAGCACGAGGAGGAGGAGCGCCTTAAAAAGAGGACTTGGGATTTAGTCGAGCCTCTAAAGATTTTGGGGAAATGTTTCTTTTTTTAAAAGTGGATCCTTGAGCTCTTAAAGTGTCAGTCATGGTGCCTCACACTCCTGACCTGCTCCATGCTGAAGCAAAAATGTCAAGGAATCAGAAAATCCTCTCAGTCGTCAGCTCCTTTCTGAACTCTGAAATGTGTTCAAGGCTTTGCAAAGTTTGCGTCCTCTACTAAGATGCTATCATAATGCTCATTTTTGCCCTCATCCCTAGGGAGATGTAGTCATTTTGAAACTCGTTGCCCCTTCTCATTTGTGACTTCCTGTTTCTGAACAACAAAAGTCTAGAGGTCACATTCAGTAGTCTTCGTTCGTCCCTCCCTCCCCCCAACTCATCAGGGCTGGTGGGGAGGGTGGATCTTGACCCTGTGGGGTCAAAACTGTAGCTGGTGGTGGTCAGCACACGCTCACCATGGAGTCCAGCCCAGAAAGCCCCAACCGGGCCGTGGAGTACCTCCTGGAGCTCAACAACATCATCGAGAGCCAGGCCAAGCTCCTGGAGACGCAGCGCCGGCGCATCGAGGAGCTGGAGGGCCAGCTGGACAGGGTCAGCCAGGAGAATCAGGATCTCAGGCATGAGGCACGTGGCCCACATACCACTGGGTCAGAAACGCCCGAGCAGAACCACAATCAGCCCCTGACGCTCCCCATCCATCATGGTGGTGGCAGCAACACGGGGAATGCAAGCACCTCCGCATCTCAGGTGACAATCGGGTCAACCACAACCCCGGGACCCAGCAGGGAGAGGAGGGGACACCCTAGGCTGACCCGAGGCCTCTCCTGCGGCTCCACCAACGCAGAGCGAGACCGGCTGGAACGCACCGACAGCACAGACACCAACACCAGTTCCACCTTACGCAGAAAGTAAGTCCACTTCTCACTTTCAGCTTTCACATTTTACCGCACCGTGTCAGCGATCCGGCTTAAGAAGCTCTGAATCACGAAGATGAGCGCAGTCTTCATGATACCTCAAATATGACGGAACAATTATACACTAAGATTACAACACAATCTGTCACAATATGACACAACATTATACACTGAGCCCACAGGCTGAGTGCAGGAACAGTCGAGTTATGAGTGCGCTTGTGCAAAGCTTCACCTAACTCTTCCGGGTCAAACGCCAGTGGAATTAAACATATTCAACAGATATAACCGATATACCGTTTTACAGACCCGGCCTATTTGCTCAAAACTGATTTGTGTTCAACTTTCCTTTAAGATCATAAGTGAGATTGTTCATTTATACCTTTGAGCTATTAATCTTTTGGTAGTTAGTACATGAGCATAAGTCCCAACCAGTTGCTGTATCTAGTAATATGGTAGGCGGCCAGCCTGAAATAATCAGATATTTTTAATATCTCGTGACTTGCTCAGTTTTCTTTCTGGGTAAGTGGAGATTAGAAGAATACATTTCAAACTGAACTGATGGGCTAAACAGCAATTAAAGCAATATTTATATTTTATTGATAATTGTATAAAATGATGCAACTCAAAATCATGAATAACAAATTTGTCACAAAACTATATTTTTACCAAAAGCTTCATTGCGCAGGCAGCATACGGTGGGGGCACCAGTTCCTCCTTCCCCAGTTTGCTGCATTTCAGACCCCTTGCTCGTCAAAAGTCCTTCAGTGCATTGACACTACAACGTTTGACATCATCCGGTGTTTTCTCTGCCATAATTTGCAAAAATCATCAGTAACTGAACTGATAAATGGGAGAGATGTGATGGCATGTGTCAGATCAGCTCTGTGGGTTTGTTTCTGTCGTGTCACCACTGACCCCATGTTGAAAACTACAAAATCGGTTATTCTAAAGGGACTAAAGCTTAGAGCAGGGATTTTCTTCATGATCATATTGAGTTATACTTTGTACCTAAGGCTGGTGGATTCTGGGTTAACTTTAAAGGGTTCGGCATATTTTCTTCAACCCTGCCTGCAGAGAGTCTAGTTTGTTAGAGGATTCTTACCACGTGAGTTGTGTGTAAGTGTGATTTCTGTCAGGAGAAGTTCAGGATTCGGGGTATGGGTCTTTTTTAATAGTTTTATGAGCTTACCGGACCAGAAAAGTTGTCCTTGTTTAAAATATCCTCCCATTATTTTCTAAACTACTTATTAATTATTACTAATTATTTACTTGTTTGTTTGTTTGTTATCTTCTTCACTTTGCACTCGGGGCCGTGGGGTCTTGCAACAGTTGCAGACAGAAGTATATGTCCACACGTTATTTTTTTTACTTTTAGTGATTTATTTGAACTGCTCTTTTTCCATGTTGGAATAATTACTCAACACACAACTTCAAAGAGTTTAAAAAAAGAATCGGGCACTCAAGTTTGAATTTATTGTGGATTTTCTCTAATCCATACAGCTTCAAGTATATACTGTACACAGAGTCACCTGAATCGCTTCATAAGTGGCGCTGAAGGGTCTAGGGTGTAATTTAACTGGATATTGATTGACTGCAGCTGATTGTTTCTCTTTGCCAGTGTACAAAGGATTGACCAATATTCAGAACATTAAGATATTCAGGAACAGCCCAAGTATGGCTGAGGCTCAGGCTTGTCATGAAGTGGAGGCCTCTCACTGGTGTATCTGTCCACAGTCAGGCCTATTTTACATCAACGTAAAGTGAGAGGGTTCCAAAAGATTGAACTACTGGGCCACAATAACACAAAGTGTGTTTGAAGGCATCAAGGTGAGGCATTCAAAACTAAAAGCACTGTACTAATTGTAAAGCATGGTGGTGGTAGCATCATGCTGTGGTACTGGTGCACAAAGTGGATGGAAGAGTAAATGAAGCGGGACTAATTAATCAACGTCACCTCAAGTCGACAGCTAGATGGCTGAAACACAAATGGGTGTTCCAACAGGAGAACGACACCAAACGCATCATGGCTGCATGGATAAATCAGCTGAAATTAAGCTTCTGAAATGGACTTCCCAAAGCCCCGACATCAACCCTGTTCATTTTTTTATTAATTTATTTTATTTGACCTTCATTTTACCAGGTAAAACGTTTGAGAACCAGTTGTAATTTACAAACAAAATTATGGATTATGTTTAAAAAAAATGGGTCTGTGCCAGAGAACCAACTACGTTAAATGAACTCTTCCAGTTCTGCTAAGGAGAGTGGTCAAAAGTCCAGACTGTAACACCAGAAGCCTGTTGATGGAGACAAATGTGTGGTCAATGTGCAAACAACTAAGAGCCATTAAACCAAATATTAGTTGGGATGCACGGATGTTATAATCTGACCCTGTATGATGTAGAATTAAATCACAATAAATTCAAACCTGTGCACATGGTTTTAAAAATCCTTGAAGTTGCATGCTGTGTTCCCTCTGTAAATAGTTCAAATAAATCTTTTAAAGTCCCAAATAATTTTAACATTCAAGTCCATCATGACTGTAGTAAACTTCTAACAGCAAATAAGTTTGTTTCGTTTTCGGCGTTCTAACTTAAAGCTGACCTGAATCCAGATCACGGCAAACGCAGCTTTGGCGGACAGCACAAGCATCTGTCCTTGCTTTTTACTTTAACCACACACCCTGGGATGGAGCCGGCTTTTGTTCTGGAAGCAGTGAGCCCTGTGAGTAGGCAGGAATTCATGTGGAAAAAGAACACGGTGAAATAAACTGTTGCGCTCTTTTAAAAAGGCATTTCTCCGAGCACAATCATCTCAGCAGTCATAAAAGGATCCTGTTCACCGTCTTGTTTTCTTATCGTCCCAGTCCTCTTTTCACTGATCGGTTCAGATTTACCCAAATCCCTGATCGATTAAAGCTGTCTTTTTTCTCCCGCCTCCCTAGAGAGGACTTAGTCATTAGGCAGAAGCACATATTAGTTATTTATGGGGGCGTTGAATGCAGTAATGAACAGCTACTGCAAATCTTCCTGATCCTTCCTTGTAAATTGTTTGCAGCAGTTGTGACTGACTTTGGAACCTGGCTCAGACGAGCATATCCTATTGAGTGTCACATTTAATATAGAGTCGTGCACTCAAGCCATATTGTCCCCGTCTGGCTGTGACTCAGCCTCGCCCAAAGAAGCCCGTTAGCTCCGGTCAGTGACAGTCCTCTCCCCCGTCTAATAATGGATCTGAGACAGAAACACAAACTTCTGCACCGGCGCGCTAAATGCAGCTCAGATCAGAGGGAAGAGACAGAAAGATGATGTGGAAGATGACACGGGGGAGGAAAGTGACGGGGCGACCTTACTCAGCATGCCTTGGTCTAAAAGAGAAAAAGGTGGAACACACACACTGACACGCCATCTGTCAACAGGCGAATGGAGGGGGGGGGGGGGGGGGCGCTTTTGTTTTTGTCCAATTAGTTTGACTTCCTCCAGCTGGAGTCCTCCTCCTCTGTGATCTGTGGCTCACGTAACCCTCAGTCCTGCTTTCAGTCTGCGTTTTATTAGTCATGCCTGTAGGAGCTGCATCAAAACAGAGCGGCATAGTCGTCCTTCTCCCAGCGGTGCGTTATAAACAGCTGTCCCAAATGCTCCCCCCGCCCGCCTCCGTTACATCCCTCCTGTGCTGTTAATGGCAGTGTGAACAATGGGAGTCTGCAGCCCCTGGGGCTGCAATGATATTTGATGTCGAGTCCTTCCCTGAAGAAGCAGCAGAGTTGAGGGCACTTGTGCAGCAGATGTTTTGTTGTTGTTATTTTGGGGAGGGCACGTGCTTCTTTATATAATGTGCGGTGTTAAGGCTGCAGAAGACACAAGAGATGAACTATTGTGACTAGAGGATAATTATTGCTTATTGTAAAATGGCAAAAGCGAACATTAAAGATTGTGTGTGTGTGTGTGGGGGGGGGGGGCATGTATCAGTCCTCAAAATCCCTCATGAACCACTGCATTGATTTTAATGAAACTTTTAGAAAGTAATCACAAGATGTAAAACTACAACTGATTTACTTTTGGAGCCAACCCAATTAATAATGACTGCCACATCTGCCACATGCTGTACATCTTTTTTTTGTTCCCACATGACCTGAATGTTTCTATGCAGCTACAATGACCCTGGTGTTGGTGTTGTAGGGGAAGAGACTTGACTTAAAGTCCAGAGGAGTTGATGCTTAGAGGAGTGTTATTACATAATGTGGAAAAAAGAAGAAAAACAAAAGGAATCTGTTCTTTTTCTCCTGCCTGACTGTCACAGTGGGAGTTTGTGTAATCTTTCATCCCTCCTTCCATCTCTTATCAAGCTGGACTCTCTTGACAAGTCTTCAACATTCATTTTGTTTCAATAATTCGGTTATGGGCTTTAGCTTTAGTTTTGGTTTGTCTCAATTTTTGTCTCCAAGTGACCCTCTGTCCCCTTCCCTTCCCCCCCACTTCAATCTTTCACGCTTTCACTCACATACCCACGTACGGTATGTACACTCACCCTCTCTCCCCCCTCGCTGGTTCTGTTTCCCACTGCTGCAGATATGACTCAGAGAAGCTGCAGAAATTAGCTTAGGTGCTATTCTTTTTCTCTTCAACTCTGAGCTCAATGGCTTATGTTCCCTTCCTGCATTTAACTGAAACCTGCTACTGTTGCAGGCTGAATATTATTTTGAAGGCTTTAATTGAAGCTTATTGACTCGTACTTATATTTCCTGTTGTAGCTTTGGTGCAAGTATGGAGAAAGAAAACTTGCCCCAAGCTAATGTGTGGGTAAACTCAGAGGAGCTCGTTCTGACCTGCTGCAAACATCTCGTGAGGATGTGATGGGAGGAATAGTCAGAGTACTCCATCATTTTCCAGAAGAAACACACACACACACACGGTGGATCTGATGATTTCTCTGGTTTTCACTTTTTGCATATTTGATTTATTGTTTGCCAAAAAATGAAAATATCACAATGGCGTTAA